TGTCCATGATAAATCCACAAAGTCTCTATCCCTCGATACAAAAATTTTCCAAATCTCGATCCTCGAAGCAATTCTCAAAATTTCACACAGCACGCGTAAACAAAGCGAACAGATCGGCAAACGAATTCATCAATTTCGATCAAACGTTCCATCATTCCGTAACGCGAAAGCATGCCAAAATACGTGGAACATCGATCACTCCGACAGCCTGGCGCTAATTAAGGCAAATCGAATTACCTTCCAGAGCCTTCCCTTTCGATTTTTATCCTCATCTTCGCCATCGTATTCGCATATCACGTTTTGTCTCACCTACGTCAATTGTCTCCGCGATCCATGGATTATTTCGCCTGTTCTAATACCTGCTACTCAGGCTACTCAGGACCGTAATGCCAGCTAAAAGAGAAGTAAAAAGCGAGATGGCGTAACAGGTTCATAACTCGAGTTCTTTCCAAGCATCGTTTACAGCGAAATGAACGGTGGCGTTTACGCGGCCAATAAATATCAGCGAGTTTTTCGGGTCCATTAGGAGGGAACCGGTCGGTGCAGCATGCACCGCGGTCTTAACAAAGCTCGGTGCAAGTGATGCGCGCGGCGGGATCAGCTTGCGTAACGCACATGCACGATGCACGCCACGCCGGCTGACCCACATGCGCGGTCTTTATTTAAACTGGTTTCCTCCTCGGCGTCCTTTAGTACCGTCTTTCGGTTACAATTTCATTAAAAGAGTCATCGGTTTCGAGTTCGCGTCCCGTTTCCTTTCGGAATCGATCCCGAGGCGTTGCGTAAAAGACACAGTTCCGAATTTGCGAACGGCCACGTGCCTCGTGAGGGAATTTGCTGATTCAGATTTATCGGCAAATTGGAGCAGACATAAAAATAGAAAAATAAAAGAAAAAAAAAGGAAAAGGAAAGGGAAAGAAAGTGCGTGGAAAAGGGGTTAGAATAGATTTCATATCGTCCAGTCTATGTATTTCCTAACCTCAAAAATGTTGAATTTTTAGAATTTTAGAATTATGTTATTACTCGTTAATTATGCTCAAATCGAACTTTTCTTTAATCGTGGATGTTTTCAAGAAGCTGCAGAAATTTGATACTAAGTGTTGTTTATAGAATTAATTGTATATAAATTATTATAGAATTTATTTTCAGGGATTCGAAAATTTTCTAAAATCGTTAATTAACCGAGTATCTTCAGCAGTAGGCAAGTTTCAAATCGAAGTTAAACTTCGTTTTCCCCGAAGTTTATTCGCGTCTCGAATGTCTAGGCTTCGCACGGTTCAGTCTATGTATTTTCTAACCTCAAAGGCGTTGAATTTTTGGAACTATGGAATTTTGTGATTATTCATTAATTGTGCCCAAATCGAGCTTTTCTTTAATCGTGAACGTTTTAACGAGGCTAAAGAAATTTGATACGAAGCGTTTATAGAATTAGTATTACATAAATTATCGTAGAATTTATTTTCACGTTTTAATAGGGACTAGAAAATTTTTTAAAATCGTTAATTAACCGAGTATCTTGAACAGTAGGCAACTTTCAAATCGACGTTAAACTTCGTTTTCCCCGAAGTTTATTCGGGTCTCGAATGTCTGAGATTCGAGGTATTTGGAAGACGATCAAGAAGCAGATAGTGTCACTCAAACAGAACAGATGTACGCGATGAACGAAATACTTGTAAGACATTTAGACATCCTATTATATCGAATAATCATTTCCTCAACTTCGCGAAAAGTCGCATAAATTCGCGGAGGAAAATGGAGCGTTATTTATGAAATACTTCGAGTTACTCCAAAAACAGCTCGCAAACCAAATTTAACTTTTCGCACACGTTGAAAATAAAGTAAGTCGCTTATTTCCAACAACCGAGGAGTCTAAATCCATCTCGTAATTATGGAATTTATTTTTCGTAATAAATTCAGTTTCTTCTCAATTTCGGTATTTGGAACTCGAAGAGAACCTTATTTATATATATGCATATATCTCGCGCTATTTTTATCAAACTTTCGCCAAGCGAATGGTGACTTCCGCACAGCTAAACGGGACAATTTAGCGCGTTTTAAAATGGCCACGATTATACGGGCAGCGCCATCGCGAATTTATCGATACGCCATTAACCTACAAACTCGCGATGTATCGCGATGCCTGATTTTACCGAGTAATTCTAAGAGCAATTGAACAAACTGTTTACTCCATGGCCTTTTCAAAAATAGTTGCACACCCGCGACCAGGTAGTTGTGTCCAGTTATTTGCAGCGCTCGTGAAACTGGGTTGCGCGTTAAATCGCGCGTTAATCGTGCATCGACGCTCCGTCGGAGGGAACATTTCCCGACCAGGGCGAATCGGTGTTCGAAGGAGAGAAAAAGATCATCGTCCCATCGTTTCGGGACAATGGGAAAAATATAGTAACGCGTTCTACGCAATTTAATCGCTTTTTAAATTTTCGCGCCAAGAAAATTACTTTCCGCGTCGAGGATCGGTAAAATGGACGAATATTCGGCGGGAACTTCGAACGTTGTCGATCACAAAGAGGCAAATTTCCAATTATGATACAGTCATACGCGTTTCCCCGAAGAAAATTGAGAAATTTTTAACTTCCCCTGCCGGAAAGCCAAATTCGCGAAAACCCGGGAAAATAAACGAATGGAGAGAGAAATACGGTTCTGTCGGAAAGCGTGCACCGATATTGATTTGAAACATACGTATCGCGTGTTTAAAAATCAGCGGAAGCTTCCGGTTTTATAACAGCTGGAGGTGGAAATGAAAAAACGAAAAAATCGTCGAGCCGCGAGGGTTGATTTGAAACGAAGAGAGAAATAAAAGCAGCGTCGGTAACTGGCGAGGAAATGTGGTTTAATCGTTCGGAAAGACAGGAACGAAATCGGTAAATCATTTCCGGAAACGTGGTCCAGACGACGAGGTTAAAAAGAAGCGCGGAGACGAAACGCGCGCCGAACTTACGGCTTGTGTACCAGACGCCGGCTAAAATATGACTCCCAAAGCGCGAGTACTCGCTACACAGAGGCGTTTCAACTATTAAAATGGAATTTAGTCGCGACCGCCGGCGTATTTCACTTTGTAACTTACAGCGCTCTTGAAACGCTCGCGTCGCTGCTAAATAATACCGCGCCTCCCTAACACTCGCGTATCAACTTGCCAAATTTTATCCGAGTGAAAACACTCGCTTGGAAAACATCCGTGGAGGGAGGATCTCGTTGATCGATGGATCGCCTGGCCACTCGATTTTTCCGTCCACGCTGTTTTCGCTTCTTTTCGTTTATTAACTTATCTGATCGTTCGAGAATATATCTCAACGATTTAAAAAATAATAAAAAAAAAAAAAAATAAAAAGGAAAAAGAAAGGAAAGACGATATAAATAATTTCCTAATTTATAAGTAGGCGTGTATTTCTATTTTAGATTGGAAACTAGATATCAAAATGGAGAGAGAGACATCTGTAGGGTTAAAAAGAAAGGTTAGGGATCCTATTATTATACTGATGTTACTATATTGACACTTTCACAGCCACATAGGTCATATATGACCAGTTATGGTTTCTTGTGTGACGCCATGGCGGTCATTGGTGACCATTGGGAACCATTGGTGCAGCACTTGAACTACTTGCAAAACTAAAATTGTAAAAATTGAATGAAAATTGACAGTTAGTCAATTGTCAACCGATACCAAGGCGCCACAGTAGTCACCCGTGATCGCCAATAAGATAAACGCTTCATTGGATAAGAATATTGTCTTACATCACCGATTTATTATTATTTTAACATTATATGCTTTGCCATGGAAGTCAAAGGGTTAATTCCTAACCCCGTCACTGTGAAAAATTTCGAAAAATCCAAAACTTATTTCATTTTTGCTCCAGTGACCGACGAAGAGACCCTAACCACTCTATGCAATTACCAATATTTCTCTCAAAGGCAATAAAAAATAGATTCCAAGGAAACTCGTATATTCGAATAAGTGCTATTTCCAAGTGGCCGTGTAGGAAATGCGAGCGCCTAACTATCTCATCGATTCGGAATACCGCGATGGAGAAGAGGGACCACCGCAAAGCCAGCCAACTCGGAGAGAAGTTTCCGGCGCAAGGAATGCCAGGAAACGCGGCAAACGAAGAGGAAGAATCGCGACGAGGATGAATCGGGGAAAAAGGACGGAGCCTCGACATCGGTCACCGAAAGGTCCGATGGAATTCCCGTCGATCCGATCGCTCGTGGACACGAATTCCGAGACCTTTCCCGATGGAAAGCGGAAAAAGTGACGGCGCGAGCCTTCGGACGTGTCGCGACGCTGTCGACGAGCGATTCCCAGGAGTAGCGCCACCTACGTCCCTCATTTCCATACCGCGTTCCCATCCGGCCAACTTTCTATGGATCGAGCGCCACCGTGGAGACCGCGCGTCACGCGCAGGCACTCGCGCTCGAGGATCGAGAAATTTCCTCGAGTCGAAGAGACTTTGGATCGAGGAACTTGATTTATCTCGGATGAAGAGTGCTCGTCGCTTTTCATGCATCATCGTTCGCAAACTCGGGAAATTTCTGCGATTAGAGGGCCTTCGAGTACCCTGTGCTCGGATGCACCGCTTGCCAATGCTGGATAACAAGATGGCTACGTTCGTCGATTTTAATTCGTCCAATTGGGCCTGACAGAGTGCTCGTTATTTAGTACGATTGGTATTAAATATCGCGTGTTTATTCCTCGTGGAGTATACGGGAAGAATCGTGATCCGGTAGTGATCCAAGAAATTGGAATCATCGTTGGAACGATTGTTTTGACAGGTTCTAGGTAGGCTCAGTGTTAAGAACGACTCGCGCAAGTACGTAGATTGTCTATTGCTCGTGTATCGGATAGCTCGTAGAGAATTTAATTAAGTGGGACGAGTAGGAGTACCGTAGATTCGAGTTTGTTAATTGGAAGAGTGATATGTAGAATTGGAAACTACCAAACGGTATGTCTTTGGCGCAGTGTTTGTAGCGTTTCATTAATTACATACCGAGTTGATGGCTGTCATGCTGCTAACTCGACCTGGATCTGTGTCCACTAGCCCGTTGTCACTCTACAACAAAAAAAAGAAAAAAATCGTCGGTTAATATGAGAAATAGCAGAGCCATTCGCTAATTACGATCGGAATTAGTGATATCGTGGCCGAAAACAACGCGTAAATTGTCGCGACAATTAAATATCCAGCGGATCGTTAATCATCGAAATCTGCAATTCAGATCACCCTGCCAAAAATGAAACGGGCGGAAAAAGTGGAGAAGCCGAATCCACCGATCGATTCGTAACTTTCTCCGTGAGAAAGAGAAAGAAAGAAAGAAAGAAAAAAAGAAAAAAAGAAAAGGAGAAAATGAAAGACGAGAAAACAACGAAGAGGAATAAAACAGAAAACACGAAGCAAATTAGAGAACGCGACGAGTTTCTCATTTTCTAAGCCGTTAGAGACTGGCAAGTTAAAACGATCGAGGGAAA